CTACCTACCTACCTATCTATCTATCTTTCTTTCTATCGAGCTATCTGTCTATGCACGCATACATGTATACCTTCCTATGTATGAATATATGCATGACCTCTGCGTCCAGGACTGGGCCCTGCTGCAGCTTCGCTACGAGCTTTTCCTGCTTCAAGATTCCTTCAAGAAGGCTTCTTGATTGCACCAAGCAAGGAACGTTTCATCAGAGATGTGCGCGAGAGCGCTAAGGACGTCAATGATCCTGATCGTGTTGCAATCCCTGAAGCTCACTTGAGCTTCTACTACAGCACCTTGTCTCCAATGGACAGGACGAACGGTTTTTGGATCCAATGCACTTACCGGCCCGAATTCGGGAATCATTTCGGCCTCAAGGCACCCGGAAGGCTCAGTGTAAGGCGTCTTAGACTGAGGCCAGTTTGTCTGCTCGCTGACAGGCAAATACTTCAAGAAGCAGATGAACTTGAAGCAGTTTGGCGTCACCGAGATTGCAGACCTTGTCAAGCTGGCCAAGGTGGTGGCCAGAGCAACGTCAGCCCCACCCCCCCGACTGTTTGCAGCCATGCGCTTTCAGGACACCGTTGCCATCAGCGAGGACGGCATTGCGAAGACAACTTCGCTCTGCAGCAGTCTGAGCTTACCAAACTTGGAAAGTATAGACCCTCAAATGCCAGGACACGAAAATGTTCTCCACGATCCTAGACGACGATCTTGAGTCAATGGACGCGCTGGTGAAGCTGACAGAGGCCAGCCATGGGGAAGTTTCCTCAGTGAGGTACCCGCCAGTTGCCCCAGGAGAGCCGCAAGGAGCGGCAACGCAGAATTGATGCTGGTGATGAGACAGCCCGGCTAAAGCTTCCTGGCATGAAGCAAGCCCATCGTGCACTCAAGGCTTTCAGGCTTGTGTTGTTTTCATGGCTGGCTTGACACCGAGGTTTGTCCTGCACAACCCTGCACCAGCTCCAGTGGTGTTTCGGCCGAGGATATTGAAGCGTCAGTTCTGATTCAACTTCTGATAATGTACATGTCCTCTGGTCCAAGCTCTCCAATGGAAGTGCTCGAGAAGATCAGAGACACTTGCTGAGGCCCCGGCGGCGGTGGCCGTGGCAGCGGTGCCGGCGATCCCTGGGCCCAAGGGCAAGGGCAAGGGAAAGAAGGGGAAGCATCTCGGCTAGGCCTAGGCCGATTCTGACATCTCTGATTTGCGCAGTTAATAGTACCACCCGAGGTGGTAGGTGTGCCGCCTGGCCGAGTGAGCTGGCCGCGATGGCTGTGTCTCACTCGCCGCAGAGGGTAGCAGAGTCAGGGAAGTGCAACTTAGAGTGGCTGCATGAAGCATGCCTTCCAAGCGTGCTCGACGCTATACGACGTGGCCGGAATGCCACTGTTTGCCCCCCAGATGCTTGAGTTCCTCATCGCACGAGCCAGCCGGTCGACAAACCCTCTAAGCTCACCTTCAAGAGAACTTTCAGTGTCGCATGGGTCCTCAAACACCCTCGCTCATCGGTGGCTTGTCTTGTAGCGAGGTCTTGGCGCTCAGCATTCTGTGCAGCCATCCACTAAAATGACGGAGAGCACTTGTATTGGCCAACTCTGGCATTCCATGTAGGCTTGATCTTTTCTGACAGGTGCTTTGTGCTTTTGATCAGAGACTGCCGACGAAGGGAACCGACGTTTTGGATTCAAGGAAGGTCAGAGTGAGACTACTTGCTGTGGCTGATTTGCGAGCCATGGAGACTAGGCACGACTGCATTAACAGCATCCGTTTAACCGTTTCTGTCCACGCCAGTGGTAAGTGCTGAAACCGGCTTCTGTTCCATTGTGGTGCAGGCGCTCAGATGCTCGAGCTACACGGTGGGGGCGCGTTTTTGGCAGCTTGCCTTCAGAGTGTCGCCGCATTTGCAGTGGGGCACGTTTGGCGCATTTCAGTTCCATCAAGGTTCCTTCTTCCCAATGCAGTCTCGAGTTGTCCGAGCTGAGGAGGCGGTGCCGCAGACGCCGTAGGATCATGGATCATGCCACATCTTGCTTATGTACTCGTAGGCTCGTGGCCAGTGGGAACAAACACTGAACCAGACAGTTTTTGATCCACATGTGGACTGCACGCTGTTGCCGCCCGGGAGGCTGCGCCACCCTCCAGGCGCAAGCAACACACTTCGGTCGCGGCTTTAAGCTTTTGGCAACATCTTGCTTGCGCCATGGGTGGTTTCGCTACACTCTCTTGACCTGCCAGTCCAGTGGAGACCAAACCTGCAGAACCTCCAGCGCCGAGTCCGGAGGCGGATGCCCATGGGATCAAGCCGCTCAAGCCTTTTGAGTGTCCTTTGATAGACGAAGCCTCCCCTGCAAGCGAACCATGACTACGAAAGCCGAAGTGGCGCCGAACTGTCCTCGCTGGGGGCCTCGAAGCTTCCCTCGGCTCTCGTTAGCCGTTTAGCATCGGTTTGGTGCCGCATGTCCCCGTGATGCCGTCACAGGAGCCTGCGGTGCAATTCGAGATGATCCATCGGGAGTTTCAGAACATCTCGATGCAGGTCACCGACATACGAGTCGACCACCAAACGTGCTCAAGCCTTCGACCAGGACAACTGGGACGGCTTCCGCATCGAGGCCCAGAAGAAGGTGACCGACTGCCTACAGGCGCGTCCTCGCTCCAATCCTGTGCCCAGTCTTTGCAAAGAATTTCTGCAGAAGGCCACTCACTCGCTTTTCTTAGGGACCCGCTTGCGGGAGCGCACAGCTTAGCGAAACGTCTTGCACAACATTATCCGTGATGCTTCTGGGCACTGTGGAGTGTAGAGAGCGCACCAAAGATGCTGTCGACAAGGTGTGGCTACCTGTACCAGTTCGGCCCCGCGTTCCAGTCACCGGACGGGTTTGCAAGACAACATGCTGTGTCGCAATGTGGTTGAAAGTGCGTTGCAGTGTTCACGTGAGTCACGTTTGCGATGTTTTCTGACGTGGATCCTGTTGTACGACCTTTCTTGCGAGGTGGTACTCGTACAGTCTACGATCAACTCTAACTACCAAATTGCAAACCCAAGCAAGTTTTGGTGTGGTAAGTCACAGTCTCCGCGAGACCTGGCGGTTGCACGCGAGGAACTGTGGATGCAACATGTTGCTTAAGAGCCGAGCCTTGGGTGTTTGCAGGATGGACGAACCATGCTGGTGGCAAGGACGGGCGGCTTGAGCCGCAGTTCAGCAATGTGCAACGATGGCCCCAAAGCAGGTGCCATAGGAATTGACCCATGTGACTCCTGTGTGTTGAGCAAGCCTAGCTGAGGCTTCGTCCAGGCTCCCGTGCAAGACCTCTACTGTCATCGTTGATCGTTGCAAATTCAACATTGAAAGCGTTGGGGCAGATTCATGTTTGGGTATTCAGCGGCAGAAGGATACGAATGACCAGGTCAAAGAAGGGGCACAGGACCAACAGTCTCTGACCCAAACACACAATAAAGGCTGGCATGCGCCACCTGTCTGCTTACGGCTTTTGTGGCTGTGCTAAGGACTTGACGGCGGTGTGACAGGTCGACTAATCCAGAAGGTCCAGCCGCGCAGGGAAACGTTGTGTAACACGTAGAAAAGCTACGCCAGAGACACCTCCTGTGACCTGTGAGACTGTGGATTGCTCGACCCGTCAGCTTTAAGCACTACTGCCTGCATCTGGTGTGACCCTGCCTCCTTCATGACGGAATTTCGGAAGTATACCGGCCCGAAGCTGAAATCATGCCTTTCAATCCTTTGGCAGTTGGGCAGCTCCTGGGAGCTGAAGGGATCCTCCGGCTCAGACTTGAAGGTGCGCCCTGGTCTTTGCTTGGAGTCCGGTGTCTGCCCATCGGAATCGCTGCCTAAGTCACTTAAACCTCCAGGACCCGCAGCGCAACATGTATGCTGCGAGCTCAGTGAAAGCCGTCACCGGCCTTAGAGCATGACGGGGTCTTTGAGCATAGACCCTTTGAGCACTATCAGGGGCATGCCCGAACGTGGTCCCTGATGGTTTTTCTTGTGTGTGCCGAGGAGGGTGCCCTTGAGTACTCCGGGCCCGAGCGAGCCTTCGGCGGCAAGGTCGCATGGCAGGGCTATTGGCTCGCAGGAGGCGCACTCTCAGGTCTTTTTTTATGCGCTTTAGGAGTCGAGAAAACGCAGAGTCTGTGGTAGGCTCCTACGTGCAGAAGATCATGCCGCAGCTGCAGCTCGGAGGTGACCTGACCGTGGCAGTGCGCTGAGCAAGTGCGAGATTTGGTGAAAGCTGAGTTTCATGGGAAGCATTTTTCGAGCGATTTTCCTTCACCTGCAATCGGAAGGTTGCCGTCAACAGCGTGACCTCTGTTGGCCAGGCGTGGGGGATCGTGGGGGGATGTAGCGGCAGCCTTCAGCAATCGACAGCATTCGCCAGCGCCGAGCGCGCCCTGAAGGTAGGAATGCGGTTCACCGAGGGCAAGCATGTCTTCAGCGCTATTTTGACACGAGCACTGGGAGGCCAGAGTGGTCAAAGGATGTCAAAGGGATACGGCTGACGTGAGTGGTGAATGCTTTCCAGCCAAGTTTGTCCATCTGTCAGCTCCAAGCTTGCCGTTTGCTCAGGATCAGCCAGCATCATGCATGAGCTGAAAATGCAGTATGTGCGCATCTTACGGGCGGACTCCGGGCGCGAAGTGCCTTCCGCATCTCTGTCCTGGCCTCCTGGCCTTGGAGATTTGGCCGAGGTACGCAAAGTCACCGAGAGGCTTAGCCTCGGGACAGAGTACAAGTTGTCTTATCCAGACAAGGACCCCCGTTTAGGTGACGGAGATTGCAGTTCGGGAGGGGGAGGCTGCAGCCGAAAGGCATCGAAAAGCTTGAGCAGTTTGCTTTTCGTCTCTGCTGCAGGAGTCCGGCCTGACGATGGCTTACGAGTATCTCTTCAGGCCAGAGTGGGAACGTCTTCAGACCAATTGCAGGAAGCCTTCTGTTGTCCAAGGAATGCTCGGATCCAGGGCTTGGTGGACACGGACGGCTGCTGGCTTGCAAGACTGGCGGTGATAGCTTCTGTTTTATGTTTTGCTTCCATGTCTCCACTGCACGGGTAAGAGTCTCTCTGGGCTTCCGTGTGTAGTCGTCCCCAAAGGAAAGGTCAGCTGCAGTGTGTCGGACATCAGCGGCTTCGGATTCAGCGGCATGATTGACTATGGCCGCGGTGACTACAAGCAGCTCGTCCAAACATCTCTGCCCTGCAGGTGCCTGCATCACCCCCATTCCGTCACTTGGAAGACTCAGGTTCGGCATGCTGATGCACGTGCTACCCGAGCCGGCTGGCGGCCAGCCACCCCAGTGATCTTCGCACGAAATTTTGCTCCTCATTGGGTGGTTGTGATATCAGCTTGTGGAAATACGCCCCTACCTGTTGCCTGACTCTCCCTGAAAGTTTGATGTCCACGTACGAAGCCTCGCAAGCAAACAGTCGAAGGCATAACGGCACAGATGCTAGGACGCCTCAAACTAAGCCAGTGCTGATGACTTAGGGTTAAATAGCGTTAATTTTTTAATTTTTTTGGTTGTTGGTTTTTGATGGATATTATGTTGTTAATCTGTTAGCAGACCAACCGTGGCAGCTCTGAAGTCGTCAGAACTGCCCTGGCAAAAAATTGGAGCCAACCTGGCGAAGCTGAAGCGAGCTGAAGCGAGGTAGTCAGGCTTCGTTCTGAGGTTCAGGAAGTTGGATGTCAGCTTCAGCTTCGGTGGGGGTCTGCGGGCCAAGCCCGAGCAGGGCCTTTGTGTCAGCTGTCGCTTCCCGAGCCGCTCCCGCAACATGGCCTGTTCGCCAAGACTGCAACCAGGCAGAACCAGGCACTCCAGCCCTGTGTTGGCAGTTTTCCAGGAGGGGCTCAGAAACGGCCACGCCTGCCCTTATCTGGTAGTGCTATGTCCCTCGCTGGTGCTGCTCTCGAGCAAAGCATGCCTGATCAAGTCATGCCAAAGTGTGCAGAACCTCGGAGATGAGAGGTTTCGACCCGAAAAAAGGTTGGAGCATGCCTTGACCTGAAGCTTCATCTCACAATGGCACTACGACAACGACTACTGCTGCTACTACCTTTACCGCCACTGTTGCCGCTAACGCTGCTGCTGCTTCTACTGCTGCTTCTGCAGCTGCTGCTGCTGCTTCTGTAGCAAGTAACGTCTACGATGATTCTGGCTACGACTACTGCGGTTGTTACAGTCATAGTAATGGTTCATGATGCATTGAGGTACAACCACAAGCATAAGAAACATCTTTTGTATTTGCAATCAAGATAACAACATAGCATTTGCAGTGCGTATATTTTTCATGCTCGCTGCCATTATCTCACTGCTCCGGCTGTCGTAGCAGCAGAAGTATTATGCAAGAGATGGCCACCCGCAATGGTCCATGCTCAAGTGCCTCACGCGCCTTCGAACGCCGTCAGCTGGCTGTGGACCATTGCTCTGCTGTCCGTCACTGAGAGATTGCACATGCTGGAATCGTCGTCGTCTGAATGTACCTTAACTAGAGTGCCGCTCGCAGCGACAAAGACAGTTGCATCAATCTGCGCAGTGCTTGTACTTAGGGCATGGCTTTGTCCAATCTGGCACACGCTTCTCGGTCGCACCGCTTATCCGGCACTGAGAGCTACAATTACGCTCTGCGGCGCTTCAGGTTTGGACTGTTCGGAACTTTGCAGAGAGGGCTTGGCCAGCCTTGGGCCGTTAGTTCAGTCCGCATCTGCATTCCGATTCCCCGTCACTCTGACTCGGACAGGTTCTGCGGCAGCTGCAGAACTAGCAGGTGCCCGTCGGAAGGCCGGTTTCGGAACATAGCTGCCTTTCGCGTGGTTTCGGATTGCGCTCGGGCCATGCGAGAGGCTCCTTGCGCAGCTTGCCACGTCGCCAGCTGCTGCTCGCTGCTGCATTGCCCGAGGCGCGGAAGGCCAATTCTCGGCACTTTGGCTTCAGAGAGATATGCCTGCATGCGAAGCCCGGGGTCACATAGAGGCCGAAGCCAAAGGCATGTTCAAGCGGACCGCTCTCAGAGCGAGCCAACGCAAGATTCTTTGAGAGTGTCATCAGGAGCTTCAACCACGAAACGGATTAAGCAGCATCATGATAATCAAGGACGAATCCCAATCTTAACAGGACCGCAGTTGCAGCTGCTGCTTGCAAGACTTTTGCCGCTGCCCCGCAACTTGCGAATGCCTACGGGTGCTCCGGGCCAATGGCTACAAAACGCCGCTTTCTGGTTGCACAACAGACGGATGACAGCTTATTGCTTCCGGTTCCTGGATCAGCCTGCATCAAACCAGACATTGGACATAGGCCATAGGTGACATAGGTGCAGTGACCCGACACTCGCACGACATGGGCACATCCTCTGGCCGAGAAAGTTTGGATGCTAACCTAGGGGTTCACCGTCACCGGGTGAAGAAACATCCGGTTGAAGAAAAGGTTGGATGCTGGAGAAGCCCTAGAACAAGGAGGTCTGCAACTCAGAATGCAGAGGGATGAGAGGGGCCGCCGAAATAGAGATTGAACATGACTCATGTAACGTTGGCCCTGAATGTCCTAAATAGCTTCTAAGCGGGAGCATTACAGAGTAAGTTTCGTCGTTGTCGTCGTGGTAGTGGTAGTCGTCGTGGTAGTGGTAGTGGTAGCGGTAGCGGTAGCGGTAGCGGGAGGGGTAGGGGTAGGGGTATAGGGGTAGGGGTAGGGGTAGGGGCAGGGGTAGGGGTAGGGGTAGGGGTAGGGGTGGTGGTGGTGGTGGTGGTGGTGGTGGTGGTGGTGGTGGTGGTGGTGGTAGTGGTTGTGGCGGCGGTGGTGGTGGTAGTGGTGGCAGTGGTAGTAGTAGTAGTAGTAGTAGTAGTAGTAGTGGTGTTGTTGTTGTTGTTGTTGTTGTCGTTGTTGTAAGCCTCTCGGCTCAGGTAAGGTCAGGCTAGTACAGTCGCCTTTTTCCTTACTCGCCATGGCATTTGTCAGCGCCTGAGCAGTCCCGGTCCCAAGTCCGGGAGGGAGCTTAAGATTCACAGACTTCTTTCTGCTTCCAGAGGTGAGGGTTGTCGGTCTTGCGAAGCCGACAGAAGTCAGGTTCAATATGAGCCTAGCGAAACAGCCTAGTGTTTCGACCAAACA